GTGTGTGTGTGTGTGTGTGTGTGTGTGTGTGTGTGTGTGTGTGTGTGGAAGTTGTTAAGTAACGGTTTAAAAGAAAACGCCTGATACCGATTACACATCTGCTGCTACGCCGGCAGGATATCACTGATGCAAATACCGCCAATAGTGATAAAACTAACGATGAGTTTTATCACCGAAAGCTTACAACGGACACGAAAGAGATGTATAACGATCAAAAAATACTGTACGTAAAATCTATCTGAGAAACAAAGTGAGTTTTCAGGATCAGGATGATATTTTGGGACTAATGATAAACACGTGGCTGTTTTCAAGAAATTAATCTAATTTTTCCTGTACGAGGAAGAAAAAAGCGTCGCTTAAATGTTGCCGCCGCAAGGAATTGTGGGACGGCATTTTCTCCTTTCCTTTGGTAAAGGAGGGACACCAGAACCCCGGATATATCGGCCGTTATCACCAAAGGCTAAATTGTCGTCAGACCGATAGCTGATTGGTTCTGACCTTAATTGAATTGTGAAGTGCATTTTAAGTGGTTTGCTCCCTTTTTTTTTTTTTTTTTTTTTTTTTAAAAGTCTCAAGTAGCTTCTAGTGGTTGACCCCTCCTGGTGGCTGTACTTATTACTCATTAAGTTTGTCTTTGGTTCTGTTTGTGTGTGTTTTTAGGTGGTGCGGTCCCTGTAAGATCCTCGGGCCGAGGTTGGAGAAGGCCATTGCGAAACAGAAAGGCCGCGTTGCCATGGCAAAGGTGGACATAGACGATCACACAGACCTGGCCATCGAGTACGGGGTGAGACTCGCTCTGGAGCATTGATGTACAATACTTGATGTAAATGGCCGGCCGTTTCACTTAATAGACCAGTTATGTGTTGCAGATATCCTTAATTCAATTCAGATATCCAAAATTACATTCTTGATATATCCAATAGATATCTTACTACAAAAAAACTCCCATTTCAGATATCTATAACCTAATTATTACTAGTCATCATTTTAATTTCAGATTTCCACAATTGTAACCGGGATATTTTTCCTATCCAAAAATGGCAATTGCTGATATCTGAAATTGAAAACCCCATACACACCAATGGCAAAAGTGATTTTTCCTACAAAGAATGAAGTTGTGGATATCTGAAATAACATTTATGAATGGGAAAAATATCCCGGTGGACATTTGAAATGTGTTTTTTTTGTTTGTGTTTACTGTGTTACATATCCAATCTAGTAATTACATGTTAAAACAGCCACTTATAGTTCTTAAGGATTTATAGATATCTTGAAATAAGATTTGTTCTAATAAGAATGTTATGGTGGATACTTTTAAATACCATTTGGACTTGTAAGGATTGCTATTATGTGATTACAGATGGAATGTGGTTTGAGTAAATGTTAAAAAACGGCTCGCCATATGATTTATGTTCATGTTGATTAGTCATAATATGATCGGTGTTCTAACATGTGACTCTGGCTGTTCCCAGGTGTCTGCCGTCCCTACGGTGATCGCCATACGGGGCGGTGACGTAGTCGACCACTTCGTGGGGATCAAAGACGACGACGAGCTGGACTCATTTGTTGGCAAAGTCATCGGACAGTAACCCAGCTCGTCCCCGACCCGGCCATTCACCGCCGTCACGGTGCCGTTGTGTGTGTGTGTGTGTGTGTGTGTGTGTGTGAGTGATTACAGCCGCCATCTTCAGCCGGTTTAAAAACAAAAAAACCTTATGGTGATCCCAGGTGGCAAACACTCAAAATGCTCACACCCATCCCTAGAGGAACTGCTCCGGCTTTGCATCGTTGCTTCTGTCTCCTTTTATTTTTGTTTGTCTCGGGATGGGTGTGCGCTTCCATTTGTTTAGTTTTTTTGTAGCGGTTTCCATTTCTCTTCAGTAATGTGACGGCTCTACTCCTCACGCTCTTTATGCGTACATGTAAAAGTCTGCAGAATGGAAACTACTGTGCCGCACTGCACATATACTGTAAAAACATGAGGGATGAACTTTTATTTTTTTTTTGTTTTAGCGGGTGGATAGGATTCAACTTAAAAGCTGACTATACTGAATAAGGCTAGTGAAGGCGTTAACCTGTAGTTCCTGCTTTTGTCCACAGGGTGGTGGCGTTTCTCTTCACATCGCAAAAAGCCACACATGGGTCGTTTTACACAATTCTGCCTAATGATGTGAGAGAGGAAGGTGTATGTATGTGTGTGTGTGGGAATTGCAAATACGAGTTTGATTTAGTTTATTACTCAAATTAACTCTATGTACCGGAAACATGACCAAGTGAAGTAATAAAGGAGTCAGATGTTTATTTGAATTGTGTTTTTGACTGAACCCCCCCCCCCCCTCCTAAAAAAACAAGATGGGCCTAGCTTTTATTGTCCCAAATGATACTGATTTAATATAATAGCTGTGTACTTTCCCTGTGTATTTTCTCACGAGGGAAATGAAGGGGAGCTTTTCACGAACACCACATTTGAATGACGAAGCTGAAGTAGCCCTCAATTATTCCCTGTGTGATTAAAGACGTCGGCGTCTTGTGTCCTCCATATGTCTCGGCCTTCTATCTGAACATGGAGGTGTCGCTCATGCTGACACAACCCCTCTCATCTGTGACACTGAGACGCACAAACGCACAATCCTCCACTTACTGCCGGCCTTTAAATTACCTCCATTCTCTTCTCCCCCTCAAATGGACAGCGTCTGTCTCTCTAATCTTCACTATAATGCCGCGAGTCTCGCATCAAACCTCCACCTTTCTCTCCTCCATCAGAGTCTATGGTAGACGGACTCTGACCCCGTTCGACCTCTTTAATGTCAGTGTGTCGAACCACTGATTTCAGTCCTCTGCGGCTTGTCTTGGTTGCTAGGGTTCTTAGTTATAATAGCGATAAAGTGGCGTGTTATCACTAGGACATTGTCAACAGTGGAATAGTAGGCATTGGAAAGTCCTTTACACAAGATAAATTCAGTCATTTCCAACCAGGAAGTGCTGCTGCACTTTGTGTGAGGACTCCCATGAGACCTTGCGTGCGTGGTGGAGAGCAGGATTAAGGCCTTTTTCCGTGTCCGTTAGAAACACCGGAGATATATGAGGTCGCGCGAGGCTGAAGGAGACTGGAGAGCACCTGCATCCCTGCTTCTCTCCCACGACTCGCTAACCGACTAAACATTCCCAACCCCATTACCCGGCCTGTCATCACAGAGCCCCCGCGACTGACAGAATCATGCCGAGGGGCTCCGCACTGACTTGTTATTGTAATACCTCATTTGAAGTGTCTCATCTAGCGCTGCTAGCTCGGATTCGATTATTACTGATGATGTGTTCACGCACATTTTAAAAAAAAAAAAAAAAAAAAAAAAAAGGGGGGGATTCCACTGACGTTACGTAATCAGGTGATCCAGACGTACACACATGTTTGTTGTACGCTGGATGAAAGGCATTCCTGTGTGGTTTGGAGATGTCTGAGGCGATGTGTCGGCACTTTATTTTGTTAACGTTGACTACTCATCCTCTTTTGTCTGCCTCCTCGGTCAGAGGAGAGAGCGGCGACTGAGCAGACGAGCACGAGCTCTTAAGGTTCGAGAGCGGCACGTAACCCTACACCTCTTCCGCCAGGAACAATAGACCACACCTCCGTCCTCGCTCGCGCTCACTCACTCGCTCAACCTCTCTTGTGACCATATAAGGCAAAGAAAAAAGACACGGGGGGAAGCTAGGTTGCTGCTGCTGAACACACGAGCCGAGAAGCAGAGTTGCTGTTTTCTTCTTCTGACTCTGTCCCGCCTGAAACTGTTCATGCGTGTTTGTTTGAAAGGAAATCACTGATATCAAAATGTTTTTTGTGTGTGTGTGTGTGTGAGAGAGAGGTTCATGGTTGTGTGTGTGTGTGTGTGTGTGTGTGTGCGCGTGTGTGTGTGTGTGGGTGGTGGCGAGGGGGAGCGAGAGACTCTGCAACAACACCACCCAGATCTGCACACGTCCCTAGAGCATTCTGTGTTTATAGTAAATTCATAGCTGTATTTATATTTTAAACACACACTGCCCTCCACCTTTGTTAGCTCTCTGTTCTGCCCCAGACCACAACATCAACCGGAGACGGACAAAGCAGTCACTGTTGCAACACACACACGACTTGCAATACCATATTGATTTCATTAGAGATGCTGTCAAATCTGCCCGGATTGTAATTTAACGAATAGACATCTTAGTGTTTTGCTTCTTTGTTTTACTCCACATTCCTGAGTGTGTTGCTGTCTGCTGATTACTGAGGAAATGAGGAGGATATAGGTGCTGGGGAAGGGGGAACTTGAAGGACAGAAGACATTGTTGACGCATTATCTCAAAAGCTGGATGTGCTCTTGATTGTTCTTTGTGGCTCTGGCCTTTTAGGTGACTCCCCTCTCACTCACACATACACACACACTTTGTACATGCCTGGGGAGTGATGTTGAACAAAAAACACAAGGGCTCTGACCGATAAGTGTTTACAGCCAGAGGATCTGGGTCAGAGTGAGGGAACACGTTGAAGCAACCTATTTACTCTCAAGTTTGACACAGATCTGGGCTACTTCTACTATACATGTCTGTGTGTTATGCGATTACACAGCGAGAGTGGTCAGCGAGTTAACCATGCTGCAGCTGAATAGGTGCTTTTCTTTCTGACTGAATGATATAATGGCTTCACACACCCTGAATTACAGACACACCCTGCTGATATTACCACCGACTGAAGGAAAGGGAGAGAGAGAGACTAGGTCACAGTGAAAAGGAGAGAGGGAGGGGACATAGTGAGGTCAGAAGTGTCCATATTTGGTAAAACATGCCTACGGTTTCAGTCCTACATTTCTCTCTCTCTGTGCCCACTTGTGTTTATTTTATGTCTCCTGCCATTGTTGTGTATTTTGTGTACTTTTCCCAGCACGTGTTGTTTTTTCAAATATGAACTTATTTATTGTTTTTGAAATTTGTTTATTTAAAGTCTCTTTTTCCTCCCTTTTACTCCTCTCTCTGCATCTGGTCCTGCTCAACTAACGGGGGACGGGGACGGGGGACCTTTGACCTCCCCCCACTGAAAATTTGGGATATTTCCCATCCATCCCGGAGAGGAGAGAGAGTGTGAGATTTTTTGAACTTTTCCAAGGCAGGCGCCGAGTGTTCGACGGCTTTGCTCCACGTGCACGTGATGCCCAGCTGCTAAACGTGTAGGAAAACACACACAGACGCATTCCTTTCATGATGACACGCAGTGGACGTAAATCACAGGATTTTCCTGTTTGCCAGTGGATGCCGGCCATACCTGAGCCCCCCCGTTACGATCCAACTTCTCCGGGTCAAGAGTTGCCCTTTGCGTGGCGTGCCGAACGTGTGGCGGTGCGATTTGATTTGATGAGGCGATATTTGCATCAGGTCTTGTCAAAACTTGACATATCTGTGCAGCAGAGAGCGGCAGCATCTGTTTCTTGTTCCTGCACCGCCTCCTAAATGTTTGGATGGGGAGACGAAACATAAAGAGGTCAAGAGTGGAGTGACCTTTACAATTCATTTAATCCAGTGCTTCTGATTTCTCCAGACGCACTGTCAGATGAATTCGCATAACCCTGACTCAATTTGTTTTAAACATAAACAACTCTCTCTCCCAAAAACTAGAGTGCTAATACTCATATTTGTGATGTCATTGAGTATAGAGTGTGGTGCTGTCCCTTAGACGGTGAATTTGCAATATTAATATGGAGAATGTTCTGAGTTTGTGGGCACATCTTCTGCTTCAGATCTGACAATGCCACAATAGAATAAAGCTCATTTGGTTAAAAATAAAGATAAACAAACAGACATGTTACTTGATGACATCACAGCTTCTCTGTTTTCTGACTTTGAGACTTGAACTTTGATCGGCAATGGAAATAACATATTTGAATCCTGAAAGGAGACATATCACGCCCCTTTTCTCCAGGGCTGGGCCTGGGCACATGTTTACTTCCTGTCAGCTGATGTCTGTCACGTACACTGCAACAGGAAATAAACTGGGACACTTTAAGAATGTTTACATTCAAAACTGTGAGACGGTAAATATATTGTGTAGTTGTGACAGCACAACGGTACCTCACTTTGACCTGCTTTATAATAAATATGGGACCTTTAATTTAGGTGGTGCTCCCCTTTTTTCCCCTTCATTTACTAGTGGCAGCTAGACATTAAATGTATTATTATTTATTCATTGCTTTTGGCAAACTATTCAAACTGTTTATCCGTTAGCTATCTTGTTCATGTATCCGTTACTTTTGGCTAACAATTACAACCATTTATTTGTCACTTTTGCATTAACTGTTAAGACTTTTCTTCTTGCGTAAGTGTAACAGCTGACTCAATATGTGGATTTTTTTTAAAAATCGAATCATAAGTAAATCTTGTTCGTTGTGCTACTGACATTCTATCTCCGTAACAGTGGCGACTGCACGAGTACGCCTGGTGTAAATGTTCCTGGTTGGGAATCCCTGCTCTAAGTTATCTTTCCATCTCAGTTTGGGCTGCTGATCAAAGCTACTGATTAAAACAATTCACGTTTCACACTGAGAAAGTGATTTGTATTATTTTCCATCGCTAATGTCTCGTGTCTGGTTGTGGCATGTGCATTGGCTCTGTGCCTTCAGCTCCACTCAGCAAACTGGGCTCAGATCACCCAGTTTGAATCCCAGGAGAGCATTTTAAAGCAAACAGCTTCACTTTGTACTGTTCCATTCTTCTGTGCAGACAGAACTTCCATCAGTTCACTCACCCTTTGGTCTTTGATTTCATAAACGTGTCGTGTCGTATGTCTCCCTGTCTTCTTCATTGCTTACACTTCTCAGGAACAAGTCGGGCCCTTTTTTTTGCCAATGAAAACAAATGTCAGGAGTGATGTGAGGACTGAACACGCCTTTTCCCTCCTTCCCATTAATTACGTGATCGCCTGCGGTGGTTCCCACGTAGTGCCGACATGTCTGTTCACGATATCTAGGCTTACCTGTTTTGAGTGATGGACACCTGTGAGAGTAAATGTGTTCTGCATCTCACGTCTTGTTAGGTCTCTTGATGTAATCGTTTATGGGTGAGATGCCCTGGTGGGTTTAAATAAAAACAAATGATCAATGCCAAATTCAAGTGCACGAGCATTGACAGAACATGCTAAAAAGAGCGGTTAAGGGTTTAGAAGTCTCTCTTCTTTATCTCTTAGAGTCTGTAAATAAACACATGAGATAGATCACTATCTAGATTGCTAAGATGTCATCCAAATATTTTTTTCACTTGCATCCAAGAACTCTAGCAAGCAT